GACATCATGAAATATTTTACTTGGTTTAATTTATTGATATGCTTCCATGCTCTCTTAATGTTGTGTTTTGCTTTCACGTTTCTTAAAATATTTGATTTCGTTTATAAAACCTAAAATATTTTTGAAATTGCCTTTTAGAAGATATGTCTATTCAACCCCCCTTATTGACCTCTTTATACTTATATTCTCATCCAACAATTAATATCAGAGCACATGGCATATTATATATATATATACTATTTTTTTGGATTTCTTTAGCCACCCTTATGTCTTCTTAGAGGCCCCTGACAAAATTCTCATTTTACCCTATAGATTCGGATATGCATATCCAAACTCACCATATTTCATTTTTTATCAAATAGTTTTAGAAATGCATATTTGAAGACACCAACGCTTTATTTCGGATATGCATATCCGAAATATGCAGAAGTTGTGAATGAATCAAAATCTTTAAAACCAAATTGTTGTACTCCAAAATTTTCCCTCCCATTTTCAAGACAAATTAGTTTAAGATACCTCCTCGTGCTCCTAGGGTTCTCAGTTGCTCAAGACTATTCAAGGGTTGACCAGCCAAACTCTCCTCCTAAGCAATTGAACTACAACTAGGGTTTTACTTTCCTCAAAATAAATTAGACTTCTAATGCCTCAAGTGGACTTCATGGTTTTTCATATGTATCAAAGTATCCTCGTGCCAAATTTCAAGCCTTGCAATACAAGTTTGCTCAGTCAATTAGCCAGATGATTGAAAATTAATTGTATTGGAAAAAAAGTCAAATTTAACCAATTTACAGTCAAAATTCAAGATTTTTGGTCAACATATCATTTGATCAAGGGTTGATCATGATTCATCAAGAAAACTCAAGATTCACTAAAAGTCAAAAGTTACTAAATTAGGGTTTTCTTTAGGAGAAGTCAACTAAACTTTGACCAAGCATAACTTTCACATACTTCATTAGAAATTTCTCAACTATAGCTCATTTTGATGTAAATTCAATTCTCTACAACTTTGTCTTTATAAGATCATGGCCAAAACTGCTTCATTTGAGAGATATGAGCCAAAATATTACAGGTCATTTTAAAAGTAAAAAAAAGACACTTTTTGTCAAGGTACTTTACATAAGATAAAGGCTTCAAATAGAAAAATGACCAACATGAAGGTTGTAGGAGATATCTTGATTTTTCCAAAGAGTCCAAGATCACCTTCATATAATAAAAATTGAGAGAGTTATGATTTGTACAAGATTGAACAATTTTGAGAAAATGCATGAAGTTCAATGTGAGCAAACTTGAATTTTTGGACCAATGAGTCTATCTTTTAAAGTCCAAACATGTTATTGACCTCATAATGGACCTTTAAGTCCATTCATGCATTATATTAATTTTTATTTCATTTATTTTGATTTTTATTCATTTAAATTAAAAATTAAATCAAATAAATATTAAATGAAGGTGTAAGGCATAAAAGGCTTAAGATTTGATTTTTTTTTGGAGGCCCGAGGTCACACTACAAACCATGTAGACCTATTATTGAATCAAATCTTAATGGTTTTGTGTGACTTCAATCTATTTTCAAACAAAATTAAAAGATATGTTTTACATGATGTCAAGCCCATCTCTTAACCTAATCTTTCCCACTATATATACTCATCATATTCATACCAAAAGGACACGAAAAAGCTGCTCAAGAAACAAGGATTTGGAGGTCAACATTTGCAAGGAAAGGTCGAAATAAAAATCCAACTTTCAACCATCCTCAAAGTAAGCCATCCATTCCAGTCAATCTATGAGGTATCATAGAGTAAGTCTTGATCATTCTTGATGATTAAAGAGGCCTAAAACCTGTATTCCATGCATCACCGGTTCTACATATTTGTGAAATTCATATTTTAATTTTTATGAGGCTTTGACATAAACTAACAATTTCAATATGTTTCTGAGACAAAATAGTGCAGGTTTGATCCTTTGCATGAGGTCCATGACGCCAGAATAATTCATCACCATTATTGAACTGTTTTGCTTTATTTTCATCGTATCTCCTTGTGCAGGTCGAATTAACCAAAAACAATTCTGCCATTGGATTCACAAGGGTCGATTTAGGGGGGATAAGGTCCTTCTTACTCTCTAACACGTATTATTTTTGTAGGTTGAGAAACGAGCTCACCGGAGAAGACGACCGGAGCTAGGGCTCCGACGCCTCTCCGGTCCACCTGCTTATAATATATTTATTTGTTTCGTTTGTATAACAGATTGGAAGCGCATCGCGGTTGGTTAAGGCGAAGACATGTAACATTAAGGGTGTGGGTTCGATCCCTGTGTCTTGTAATATTTTTTTTGCTATTTTTCAAACTAACCAGGTTTCATATATATTGTGCAATTCTTATTTCCATACATTAACAAGCGCTTGGCCTAGTGGCAAGCAGTGCAGTGTGAAGCCAAGAGAGCGTGGGTTCAACACCCACCCCGTACCGTTTATTTTTACCCTATTTTCTTTTAACCTAATTTCTTTTCTTTTTCTTTTCTAACCCTAAATTAATTCATTAATCAACTTTATTTTGTAAATATTAAAATCAATTAGAATTTAGGTTATTAATTATTATCACTTAAATTATTTTCTACAAAAATCATAAAAAACATTTTAGCATTCTTTTTTCTATTTTCCTATTTCTTTTATTTATCCTCATAGATCAAATGTATAGGACACACTCTCTTTTGTAATAGCGTAGATTTATTTTCCGTATTGTTTTCCTATTATGTAACTGCTTACAGGATGTAATAACTAATGTTTAATTTTTTGCACTTTACATTCCACATTTTATTTTTCTGTACATATTTAACTGCTAGTAACTAGGGTTTGTATGACAAGACTAATAATTGAACCTAGAAAATCCTAATTCTCAAGATAAATAAATGAAAACAAACACTCTTCACACTTGCACCTCCAGGATACCCTCTCTTGTTGCCTTACGATATTTGGTCATGTCCCTCGAAAGTGGGGATGCTTTAGCAAAAGACCGGTGATCCCTCGAAGTTGCCTACGAAAATGATATAGTCCCTCCGATACAAATTGCTAAAGCATCCTTACATGTTGCCTTCGATGACCCTACGCCCGTCCTTTCACATCCAATAGATAGAGTTGTTTGTCAACTAAAGGTACAAATAATATTATCTCTAAAGGAGAAGGAAAAGAATAAGAATGACCTTTAACAAGTAAGAAACTCCTAATTGCTTGCTCACAACTTTTCTCACAAACAAAACATTTTTCACACATCACATTCAAAACAATAAATATTTTCAAAAACACTTTGTACGCATTCTTGAGGACTGATACAAGAATCATTATAAAGTTAGCCTTACATTGACATTTCAAAAATATTTTCAAATAAATCATACACATAAAGCAAGTTTTCAAAAGTGAGTTAAGCAATTAAGAGCCCGTAGATAACTACAGATGAAAAGGGTGCTAACACCTTCCCTTTTCATAACTTACCCCCGAACTCAAAATCTATCAAAGGTATTTCCTGTTCTTTTCACCTTTCCTAAATATTGGATAAAAGAAAAGTTGGTGGAGACTCTTGCTATCCGTACATTTGGATAAAACCAAAAAGGTCAGTTCTCCCACCGTATTACACAAACCAAAGCAACTTAACATAGATTTAACATAAATAGTCAAAATTACATAGATAATTGAACAGAAATTTAACATTACATATTGTTATAAGCGGGTAGTTGAGGACGTCACAATATTTTGATAACATCTTCTCCCGATTTTTGAAGCTTCGCATCCACTTCAATTGGATCCTTAGTCGAGTATCGCTGAAAAGTATCCACTTCAATCTGACTTCAATCGGATGAATTGATATGGTAAAAATTTAATTCAGAATCAATTTTCTAGAAAACTGAGTTTTTTTACCTTACATCGCGTAAAGGCCAAAGACGCAGGAACTCATTAGGCCTAGTAGTATCGAGATTTTTTTTGTACACCTAGTAGTGTTGAGTTCTCGCGTCTTCGGCCTTCACGCGACCTAACGTAAAAAACTCAGTTTTCTGAAAAATTTATTTTGAATTAAAAATTTACCATGTCAATTCATCCGGAAAAAATCAGGGATCCCACTCTAAAAACCCTAAATTTCTTATTTTTCTAATTTATTTTCCATTTTCATATTTTCAAAAGAATCCTAAAAAATTTGTAAACACTTAATTTAATTTTATTTGATTTTTAGTTGTATTTTTAAATTTTTATAATAGAGTAAAATTCAGATATGCATATCTGAAACTATTTTTTTCGTAAAAAATGAGGTGCATTCGGAGATGCATATCCGAAAATATATATTTCATAATTTTTTGTGGAATATGTGCGTTCGGATATGCATTTCTGAATTATAGAAATACTCTGGGTTTTTCGTAAGGTGTGGAAGAAGAATAATATGTGTAAAGAGAAATTATGAAATAGTGGTAGTGGTGATCATGAAACTAACTTATGTAACAAATATATTTTTGAATATTTATATCTGAAAATACCACTTAAATATTTAAATTCAACATTTAACTAATTATAATATATAAACAAAAGAGTTTTTAGATATGCATATCTAAATCATCTTAAAATAGTTTTAAAAGTTTATTCGACTGTCCGAAAAATATTTTAGGATTTTCAAAAATATTTTTCATCTATACAAGAGTGTCGTCAATTTTTGTTTACTACATTTTAATTATAATTGTAATTTAAAAACTTTCTCTTGATTTTATTAAGAAAAACAATATACTCTAATTTTATTAATTTATTACATAAACGAAATTTTAATTTTAATTTTAATTTCCAGTGTGATGCTGTTGGGTTGGGGCCTTGTAGTTGAACTTGGTTCTTCCCAATTCCCAATTCCCAAATCGCGGATCAAACCTCAAACAACCATTTCCATCAATCTTCTTCCTCTAATCAAATCCACCTCCAGATTCTAGATCTATGATCAATTGCAGTAATTTGAAACCAATCTAAGAACAAGATGTATATGGCTTATGGGTGGCCTCAGGTCATCCCTCTGGAGCAAGGACTGTGCCCTTCTGTGCAGAAGATTGTGTATTTCAAACTCATCAATCGCCTGTGGCTTGTTGTTTCTCCTACTCATTTTGAACTGTGGAACTCTTCTCAGGTACTTGGATCCGTTCATTGCATCGATTTTTGGATTTGAATTTATACAATTTATGTTTTCGGGATAATTTTGAAATGTGGGCATTGGAAATTTGTGTCTATATTCAATTTTATGAGTTTTATTTTTGGAAAAAATACGAACTTGATTTTGATTAGGAGTAGAGTTTTTGTAATGTGGCCTTTGCCTTTTGGAGTTTGTATTTGAATTTCTGTATTTGATTTTCAAGATTGTTGGGGGAAATGTTGAAGTGATTTTCATGGGGTGCATTGATGTAGTATGGATATAATTTGAGCTTAACAGTGTTTTTTTTTAATTTGATTTTCTGTTGGTTATTCAGCATAGAGTGAGATTGGGAAAGTACAAGAGAGATTCGGATTCGTTGAAGAGAGAAGGTGAAAACTTGCAGGCTGTGTGGAGTCCCGATACTAAATTAATTGCTATTCTTGTAAGTGTGCTGACGTGTGATTAACAATGTGGTTTGTCATTCATGTATTCTCGATGTTTTCGATAACATCTTTATTATGCTTGTGAGTTTGTACACATGTTTACTGACTTTTTGGTGTGAAAATTGGAATTTGGGTTATAATACCTGGAGATTGGAAATGAAATACTGTCACTCATGTTTGTAAGCTGATAATCATATTGTCTGATTGTCATGATTGTCAGTGGACTATGTTCTCAAATGAAAGATGCACCTTACCCCATTGAAATTATATTTAGATGTTTTTTTTAAAATTCGGATCAGCTTTGTTGTATGCACATTCAGGACTGTTGAAACTTTTTACAACAAGATTAGTTTATTAGGTTTATAATATAATTATATCCTATATTTGTAAGACACTCTACCTTCTATTTCATTTTGTTCATGTTGCAATTAACACATCCCTTGAAGTTAATGCTGTGTTTTAAGTATCTTGTATTATATTCCTGATTGATATGTATTTTCTATTTGCAGACATCTTCTTTCTATCTTCACATTTTCAAGGTCCGATTCTTGGATAAAAAAATACACATTGGTGGGAAACAACCTTCTGCTTTGTCACTAGCTACTATATCTCTTCTTCTCAGTGAGCAAGTTCCTTTTGCAACGAAGAATTTGTCGGTGTAAGTTTCTTGCAAATGTTGTTGTTAAAACTTCTTTTGTCTACGTGAGTTAATGCAATTCAACAAAACTACTATTGGTATTGACAGTGGAGTATTAATTGGAGTCCTATAGTGGAACAATATTTTGTTTTTATAAGTATGGGCATGTAGATGGTGGAAAATAGACTTAGGTGGTTTGGACATCTAGAGAGAAGACCTGTAGATTCTGTGGTAAGGAGAGTCGTTCAGATATGGAGAGGAGTCAAGCAACTAGAGGTAGAGGAAGACCTAGAAAAACTATAATAGAAGCTTGGTCTTGGATAGAACATTATGGCAGAAATTGATCCATGTAGCCGACCCCACTTAGTAAGATAAGGCTTGGTTGGTGTTGTAAGTATGGTATATATTATTTCTTTTTATGAAGGATATGTTGATTGATTTCTTGGTTACAGTCATGAACCAACCATCTTAGCTTCTAGATGAAGATATATTAATGTTTGTATGTTATATATCCAACATACCCCCTCTCGCGTGAGTCCTGTGAGTTCAAAGCATGGACAATGCATATAACAGCCTACCTTGTGCTGAAACACAACTTTTAATTAGAGGAATGAGGGTGTAAAGGATTGAACTCTTAGCCACTTGTTCATAGAGGCTTTGATAAACTGTTATGAATCAACTTCCCGAAAACTTGGACTGCTATGTAAAACAGAATTTATTTTATATCTATCACTTTTCATAAAATTTGGTTCCACCATGCTACTTACTCCCAAGATTGCTGATAAGTAAGAAATGCAATGAGGGGTAGAGAAGTTAGGTATATTATAAATCAAAAGTTGAAGAAATATTAGCTCCGAAGATATGTTCCTTATAGAAGTCTGCATCCATATGGGACATTAGTTATTGTAACAATTGAATGTCTAGATGATTTCTTTTAACCCATTGGCATTATCTAAAGCGATATGATATACTGAACTCATGATACTGCCATTACTCATACTTTCTGAAAAGTGTCAAATTTTTGCATTTCACTCTGTATGTAATAATCAAAAGTTGAAGCCAATTGCTACTTGATCTTGACACTACTCTTTATACAACTGTTTTGTCAGGAGCAATATTGTTAGTGATAACAAACATTTGCTGCTTGGACTTTCTGATGGAACATTGTACAGTATGTCTTGGAAGGGGGAGGTAATTTAAACATAGAACACCCAGCAATTTCGGACATTGCATCCCAATTGAACTTATTTTCTATGGTCAATTGGTCACTGATTTACAGAAAACATTCAACTGAGTTTACAGCTTTTATTTTTGTTATGATGTATAACAATATTACTCATTTTATTTTATGATCTCCTACACAGTTCTATGGAGCTTTTCAATTTGATCCAAATCCTTCTTCTAGCTTTGATGATTCTCAATTACCACATTCTTTAGAGAACGGTGTTTGTCCTAAAGGCCTCCCAAAGGTTCCTATGCCCAATCACATTATTCCAAAAAATTCTGAAATCAAACAGCTGGAGCTCTCCCTTTCATTGAGGTTGCTATTTGTCTTGTATTCTGATGGGCACCTTGTCTCATGTTCCATTAGTAAGAAAGGTTTAAAGCAAGTTGACTGTATTAAAGCAGAAAAGAGGTTGCCTTGTGGGGACGCTGTATGTGCTTCAGTAGCTCTCGAGCAGGATATTCTTGCTGTTGGTACCAGAAGAGGAATTGTGGAGTTGTATGATTTGGCTGAATCATTAATGCTTATACGCACAGTTTCTTTATATGATTGGGGGTATGTTTTTTGTCATTTTAAAGTTATTTACTTTTTATGAAATAATTTGTCTTTTTCTTTGATACCCGTAACTATTTATTATCTCATTCTACCCGTTTCTCTCTTTGCAATAAATGTTTAGGGTATTATTGGCAAAACAATAATTAATGTTGTATTGGACTTTGATAGTCACAAATAAATAGAAACAAAAATGTTGTACAAAAGCAACACTTAAAAAGGAATAGAGAGCGTATTAAATATGTTCTAGGGAATCAGTCACAAATTGAACATCTCTGCAATTTACTTCTCTGAGCTTGATGCTCAAATTCTCCAGCAGATTGTGCTCAGTTCTCTTGCTCAATGTTATCTCACCTGCTCTTCATCTTAATTAAATTACACCGCACACTCTTCTATTTTATGAATCCTGCAATTTCAGTGTCAGAAATGACTGCAGTCATAGTTTCTCCATTTTATCAGTATGTTGGGACTTGTGTTCAATGTTATGTGGATGGACTTTGGTTCTATGTCATGAAGTATGCTACTTTTTGCAGATATTCAATGGATGACACTGGCCCTGTTAGTTGCATTGCATGGACACCTGATAACTCTGCTTTTGCAGTTGGGTGGAAATTAAGGGGGCTTACAGTTTGGTCAGTTTCTGGTTGCCGCTTGATGTCAACAATCCGACAGATAGGTTTAAGTTCTGTATCTTCTCCAATTACTAAGCCAAACCGTGATTGTAAGTATGAGCCGTTGATGGGTGGATCCTCACTGATGCAGTGGGGTGAACATGGATATAGACTTTATGTTATTGAGGAGAGATCTTCAGAGAGAATTATTTCATTCTCTTTTGGAAAATGCTGTCTTAGCAGAGGTGTTTCTGGAACTGCATACATCCGGCAAGTGATTTATGGGGAAGACCGGTTACTCATTGTGCAGTCAGAAGAGATTGACGAGCTTAAAATGCTGCATCTTAAGCTTCCAGTTATGTGTTTGATTGTCAAGCTTTATATGTGTAATCTTAATCGAACCAACATCACTTCTAAAGTTTAAAATTTTCCGCAGGTTTCTTATATTTCCCAAAACTGGCCTGTTCAACATGTGGCAGCTAGTCAGGATGGAATGTACCTAGCAGTCGCTGGTCTCCATGGTTTGATATTGTATGATATACGATTGAAAAGATGGAGAGTATTTGGAGATGTTACTCAGGAGCAAAAGATTCAGTGTAAGGGCTTGCTATGGCTGGGAAAGATTGTTGTTGTCTGCAACTATATTGAGTCTTCCAACACGTGAGATACTTTTATTTGCTTACGTATTTCATATGGCTGGTTCCTTATAATCTAGTGACTAAAAATATATCATGTTTAGCTAATTTTTGTTAAACAGTGTACATGCCTTGAAAAGCCTGAATTTAAAGGGTGATAAGTGTTTTTTACCATCTTAATTTTTTTTAGTATTAGGTCTGATTGAATCCAAAACTATTGGTTTTCGTAGCAATAACTGTAGCATTATGCAACATACAAAACATTTTATTCTGCATGCAATGGTCTCTTAGGTCTCCTTATTTATCTCAGGTATGAATTGCTGTTTTACCCAAGATATCACCTTGATCAAAGCTCATTGCTCTGTCGAAAACCATTGCTAGCGAAACCAGTTGTGATGGATGTGTACCAAGATTATATACTGGTTACATATAGACCATTTGATGTCCATATATTCAATGTTAAATTATTTGGTGAATTAACTCCTTCAGGAAATCCAAATTTACAGGTAAATGCACACTTATAAAATTAATTTCCCCATTTTTTTGGTTTTCAACGATACTCTTGTTCCGCATGCTCTTTTTTTTCTTCTTCAAATTTTATTCTATAAAACCTTGTTTGTTATACATTTTTAAGTGATAACATGACATACAGCTTTCTGCAGTACGAGAACTTTCAATTATGACTGCCAAGAGTCATCCTGCAGCAATGCGATTCATTCCTGATCAAATCCCACGAGAGCCTATTTCAAAAAATTACATTTCATCTTCATCAGATTCATTTAGTGGAGAACCAGCAAGGTAATATCCTTTTGACCAACATGTAATCCCTTTCTCCAGTTTACTTTTCCATTTCTCTCATAGAAATGATCCAAAGGGAAAATGTCACAATCTGTAAAGTCAGAATGCATTATAAGTTATAACTAAGAATCCCTTATTAGTATTGTCATGACCTAGCTTTCCGAGTTCCAGCTTTGTTAGTGGAGATAAGAATTGATATGCTCGTCTAAACTTGGTTGCTTTTTTAGCTGTTATTAGAGCCATTTTCCCTATTAATAATTCATCATCAAGAAAATTGAGTTATTTCTAGTATTTGTGTCAAGAAAAATGTAGTTAGAGTTCTGGGTCAGATGCACTGGTGGGGGCGGCGGGGTATTCTTTGTATCATGTTACTGATGAAAAGGGTTTGTTCTAGATGTCTGATATTGAGGTCAAATGGGGAGCTTTCGCTTCTTGATTTGGATGATGGTCGGGAAAGAAATCTTACGGATTCAGTTGAGCTTTTTTGGGTCACTTGTGGCCAGTTTGAGGATAAAACAAATTTGATTGAGGAAGTTTCATGGTTAGATTATGGTCATCGGGGCATGCAGGTAATTAACTGTTAAGATCTTTCTTAATCCCTGTATGTACATCCTTATATTTTATTATATTAAATAACTTGTGATCCACCCTCTAGTCTGTATTCTTTTTACTTCTCTGATAGTTTTTACATGGAAGTTCTTTTTTGCAGGTTTGGTATCCATCTCCAGGTCCAAATTCTTTCAAGCAGGAAGACTTCTTGCAGGTCTGGATATTTATTAGGGTGTTTATGATCTTGTAGGTTGCATTGAACATAGCACAACTTATTTTCTAGTTCATTGTAATTCATTCCTTCAATACTTTTTGTTAATATTATTATAAAGAATCACATGCAACTGTAGGTCCCATATATTGTTGATTGGCTTCATCTTGCATCATCTTACTTTTATCTGCTAGGTATATAGAAATTGTCAATAAAAAGAATATTTTAGGCTATTTGAAGCAACTTCACTAAATTCAGCCATTCCTTTATTCTGGAATCTGTTCATTTTCTGATTTGATCTTTAATTGATTTTCAGTTGGATCCAGAGCTGGAGTTCGATCGTGAAGTATACCCTCTGGGACTTCTTCCGAATGCTGGTGTAGTTGTTGGTGTTTCCCAGAGAATGTCATTTCCATCAAGTGCAGAATTCCCGTGTTTTGAGCCATCTCCTCAGGCACAAACTATATTGCATTGCCTACTTCGCCATCTTCTTCAGGTATTACAGAGTAAATTGAAGTGATTAGAATTGCCTGAACTTGTAATCCATATTTTATATCTGAGACATTGTTGATTTTTTTTTGTGTGTATTGCTTTCCAATTTTCTTTTCCTAAACCCTTAAAGGGATAACCTGTGTGATTCTTTCCTATTATTTATGCATCTGCCAGAGAGACAAAATTGAGGAAGCTTTAAGGCTGGCAGAACTATCGGCAGAAAAGCCTCATTTTTCACATTGTCTAGAGTGGCTTCTTTTTACAGTATTTGAAGCAGATATATCGAGGTACTGTAATTTGGAAACATTTATAGACAACTACCAGAATTTTAGCTATAGAGTCTTGGTAGTTGTCCATAGTTTCTTGCAAATTTCCTTTGCTTGAGCACAAGTGTAACAATTTCTTTTGATACAAAACTTAGTTGCCAATTGGCTTTTATCTTGATTGTTAATTTTCATGTCAACTATTCCAGGCCAAATGTAGACAAGAACCAGATCTCAGTTCTTAAACATGTAAAAACTCTTTTGGAGAAGACCTGTGATCTTATCCGAAATTTTCCAGAGTACTTAGATGTTGTTGTTAGTGTCGCAAGAAAAACAGATGGTCGTCATTGGGCAGATTTGTTCTCTGCTGCTGGAAGATCAACAGAGTATGTCTTTAAAACACGTATACGTTTCAATTTCTTTTTATTGTTCTGCTTTGAGACTTAGCCTAAAGAAACAAAGAAAAAACTGATAAGTTGTTTTACCTTTATAATATAATTAATAATAAATAATTTTACCTTTATTTTGAACAAGATTGATAAGCTGTTTTTTCCTTGCAAAGTCATCTGAATTTTGTTTCCTCTTTTGGCTTATTAACACTTTATACTACTAAAATGTTTTTTCTGTTGCTGTATTTTAATGTGGGGGATTAATTTTTTACTTCTATATAGATTGTTTGAGGAATGTTTTCAACGTAGATGGTACCGCACTGCAGCTTGCTATATACTTGTGAGAATCACTTGCCTTTCTCGATAAGTTTCTTTATCTGTAGAGAGTAAAAAGATTATCATTCTGAATGCCAACTAGTAGTGAGAATCTAAATAAAGATATACTCATATGATCAAGTTCATTTCATCTCAAATGTAACAGGTAATTGCCAAACTTGAAGGTCCTGCTGTGAGTCAGTATTGTGCTTTACGGTTATTACAGGTTTGCGCTTCACTGCTTCAATAATTTTATTTTATTTCCTTATTTTTAGCTCTAGCTACATCGTTGATGTGAATTATTAAACTTATGCAGGCGACACTCGTTGATTCTTTATATGAGCTTGCTGGGGAGCTGGTACTGTCTTGAAACACTAAGATTATTCACTAATATCTCATACAAGAGTTCATGACCTTTTACATAAAAATTTTTGATTTGGGTCCTCAGGTGAGATTCTTGCTAAGATCGGGTAGGGAATATGACCATGCATCATCCGATTCAGATAAACAATTGTCTCCCAGATTTTTAGGCTATTTTCTTTTTCGTTCTACTGAGCGCAAGCAAGCATTGGATAAAAGGTTTGTGTAAAACTTAGTGAATTTTTTCTTTTGTCCTAGCATAAGAATTAAAAAAAAAAATCATACCAAGTAATTTTCTTTGGAGCAGCCCCTCATCCAAGGAACAAAGTGCTCATGTCACCTCAGTTAAGAATATTTTAGAAAACCATGCTAGTTACTTGATGGCAGGGAAAGAGCTCTCCAAGCTTGTTGCATTTGTAAAAGGAACTCAATTTGATTTAGTGGTAAGAAGATCTTGCTGGTTGACTTGTTTGTTCTAACTTCTAATCCCCTTAAGTCAATTTTCCTTTATTTTAATGTGTAAATTGTTTCATGATAACCAATTTCAGGAATATCTGCAACGTGAAAGATATGGGAGTGCTCGGTTGGAGAATTTCGCTTCAGGGCTTGAACTAATAAGCCAAAAGGTTTGAGATTTTAACATATGGAAAAAAAATCTTATTTTTTGACCATTGCCTCTATTTCATTGGCCCAATAATATATTGCTCTCTCTTTCCAACTCCTCTGCAGGAGTTGTTAGATGATGCACAAAATGTTCTATACTATGCTTTTCGTAGATATTTCATTTGTTAAATTAGTGAGGCCTTAGTGTTCTATACTACACTCTTTTTCTGTACCATAAATTATGATTATGACCTAGATGAAGGAACACTGATTATTCACTGCTGAAGCCAATCTTGAACACTGATAATATGCACTCTTTATTCATTTGGCAGAAGCTTGTGTAGATTTATCATACTGTTTATCTTTAGCTTTAAATCTTCACTCTGTTAATGAATGCTATTTTGTGTTTTCAGCTTCAAATGGAAACATTACAGAGCCGATTGGATGCCGACTTTCTCCTGGCTCATATGTGCTCTGTCAAATTTAAGGAATGGATAGTTGTCCTTGCTACTCTCTTAAGACGTTCCGAGGTATGTTAAGGTTCATTGTGTGTACTATACACTGACGCCGAGATATAAAATTTTGGTGATGTGGGCATTATCAAGATTTTACAGAAAAGATGGAAAGGGGAGAATGATAGAAAATCCAATTCTGAGTTATGATATATTAGATGAGAGGACACAACACTTAATTCATACTCCTATTATACTTATACTCAGTTTTAATTAGATTTTAGCGTATGGAAAAAAGGATTCACTTTGTTGATAATTGGAATATTCTTCTGGTGTGCTTTTACAGGTTCTGTTTGACTTATTCCGTCACGATTTTCGGTTATGGAAAGCTTACAGCAGCACCCTGCAGGTATAACTCTTACTTTTTCTGATGTAAATGATAGTAATTGCATAATTTATGCTTAATGAACAAAATTGTGCTTCCTTCTGTTTTTTCTATGCACTACAGTCACATCCAGCATTTACTGAATATCAAGATTTATTGGAAGACCTGGAAGAGAAGCTTTCATCTGTTACAAATGAGGAAGAAGAATGAAATTAAACATAGATTTCACATCTGTACTGTGATCCTCATTGGTTTCCCGTCTTTAGCTTGCTTGGAAGGCTTTTAACCTCAGCCCACATCATATTTTGATCGATCATGTTGCACTAAGAGGACCACGCATCCTTTCCCTTGGATTCGATCGTGGGGGGACGAGAAAATCACATTTATGTGGAGCTTAAATTAAGATGATTGCAGTAACACCATTTTCGCGGTGTTCTAATCCAATGAATCCCGTTCGGAATATAGTACTTGTAGATAGAGGTTAGAAATATTTGTAGGGAGGCTTGTTCATGTCTGAGGATTTCACTATTCTTTTTCACTTTTTAATCCAAATTTTGTAACATGTGATTTTTGTACAAGCATGAACAGATCCTTCTGTATATATTGGTTATATGCTCTTTGATCAGTTCAACATTCAGAGTGGATTTTATGCACTTGTTATTTTAATGAAATTTATAAGAATTTCACTTAATCATGTGATCTTTTTCTCTATTTATAAGACCCATTCTCAAAGTGATGAGATGGATATGAATTCCACTCAATAATGTATTAGATAGTATATTGCTTACATTCCTCTTTTCCTTATGTTGGCTCAAACACAGATACAAGTATCTCCACAATATGATAAGATACATTAAAGCTATGTTGTCAATATTGCGGCGCAAAATGGAAATTTTGGCTTGGCCACTTTCGGGAGTACCGGTTTGGCGCGACAGGCAAAAGCGGCCGTGTTAGGCCTGATGCAGCCAAGATTTTGGGTTCAGGTGCGGAGCGGGTGTGGCCCAAAGCGACGCTTTTTCTGAAATTTGAAATCGGGTCGGGTCGGCCTAAACCCTAACGTTTTGAAACCTTAAATGGCACAGTTGCAAATCAATTTCCATTGCAAGCCTTCACCATCTCTCCTGCTCTTCCTCCATCGTGAAATTCTAGTATGCAGATATCAGATGTCCTAAGAGATGTCGACACTGATATCTATTAAAATACAATGACAATATAAAAATAGATAAGAGTACTGAAGTAAAATGAATACACGCAAAGTTGTTAATCCAATTTGGTGCACAACAACACCTATGTCTGGAAGTTACCAAGCCAGGGAGGAGGTCCACTAAATAGTATCAGTTTGTAGACCTTCTGCAAACTATCACCCGTTTACAATCTACTCACCTAATCACTACCCGTGCTTAACTTCTACCTAAGACTCACATATGTATAAAACCCTTCTCAATTCCCTTTCAATCACAACAATGATGAAAACTCTAATGCTTGGAATATTTCAGAAGTCACACTTCAAAGACACACAATCACTCGATGCTTAAAAATTTAAGAGTGATTAACAAAACTTACAACTAAATAGAGACAATCCTACTCTTATATCAAGATGATATCAGAGACCCACAATAAACAAGACCGCATAAATTTTAAACAATGGCCATTCAACAATACAAGTTTCACACAAAATTAGGTTTGAGCCATTCTATTTATAAGCATAAGTATGGATTGGATTTGGGCTTCAAAAATGCAGTAAGGAGGTTGCTAAAAGTCTACAGAATCTTCTGCATAAAAATAGGTATTCAATCAAGAGTTTCCTAAAATGTATCCATATTTAGAAACACATAATAATCTTTGAATTTCAAATAGAATATGTGATTTCTCAATCTTGGACGCCACATAGGATAACATAATATTCTCAGAATATTCAAAATCTATTATACACTAAATATATCTAAGTACACAGCAGTAACAGACATGATGTCGAATCATCATGATAGGACATCTTGTTCAACATGTTTCTCTACATGTTAGAACATCTTGCTCAACATGTTGCTGCCAAGTTATTTTTATCAAAATTAATACCAATTATAAAAATAGAGAATTAACAATCTCCTCCATTGATAAATTTTGGCTAAAACTCACAAACAACCCTTGGACATCAACATCACAATCCAATCTTCAACATAAAATCATAAGTTTAAAAACAAATCAAATACACACAATAGAAGACAACATCAAGAGATTCTGCAGAAATATCAGACTTGTCAGAGATATTAGCAGCAGAAAAAATATATCAGAGTATTAGTCGGTGGAAGTTGCTCAACACAACAATATAGAGAAAAATAAATTCTCAATAAAATTGATGTCAGGACATCATGTCTGACATCTCTTCATACACCGGTATAATACAGAGCAAGAAATTCCTCTTAAAAACTGCTAACACTTGAGAGAATAACCCCCCCCCCCCCCCCCTCAATAGCAGCAATCAGTTAGTGGTTTAAACACATTAGATACTATTCCTCTCTTTTTAGTCAGAATATGACGAATGTAAGCATCTAACCAAAATAGCATATTGGCACATAAACAAAAGTTGTTAGACGATATGAAGAATCTAAAGGGGCGGAGGTTGAATAAATCCTTTAGTTAAAAATTGTGCATTTAAAATTTGTTTTGAAATAGTGTGAAAGCTTCCTGAATCAAAATCGTCTAAATGATCCGTTATTAAAAAGATCGGATATGCGAAATCGACGCTTCGACCTCAAGAGGGCATGAATCGACACAAACAAAAGATATTTTACTCCTAGTATGAGTCGACCAGAAGGGTCGGAGTGAGCTATCCCGAGCTTAATGCAATGTCCTTCTTCAATCTATGAGCCGTCCTAACTTCTGCATAAGTCGACGCAAACAGTAAAAACACCCAAAAATGCTATTTTCAAAGATTTTCATGCCACCCATTCCACTAGAAAGTTTGTCCATAGAGCCAACCCAGATCAAGAGAATAAATGTAAAATGCGATGAATGTTTAACATCATTAAAACCAGGATAGAGGCACCTTGCCCTCACAGAAGTAGCACATAAACAGAAGTAACACAAAGGTGATAAAGATGGTCTGGGAATAAACCCTTACAAAACCATAAAAAACAACAAAATATTAAACAACAATCATGCATCAACATCAACATCATCAGCAGTTTCATACTCTTCTCCTTCACCATCAGTAGGGATGTCGATTTATACCCGTTAGTAGAGATCCCCATGGGAATTCCTTGTTTAGGGTCCTAAAGATGGGGAATTTCCCTCCCGTGGGGACGTGGATGGGGAGTAAAGTTCCCCATAAGGAACTCTAGGAATGGGGATGTGAACATATCCCCCGCCCCGTGGAGTCCCTGCCCCGCACTAGAATTTCATAATATCTTTAAATAATATATAATTTAACATTTTATGTAGGTTTATTTATCATTTCAAATAACTTGTTTTATAAACAAATGTAAAACACATATGCAATGTTAGTAAAAGAGAGAGATCTAAAAGACTATTTTAATTTTTTTAAGTTTGAAAATGTTGTGTTCATGAATCTCAAGATTAAATATTGTTAAAAAAATATATTTATCGTAGATGATTAGTTTATTAATTTCTTGTGGTTATTTTTTGAATTTTTTCTATTTATTTAGTTAAAAATAATAAATAAAAATTTATGTTTATAGATATCCGGAGAAACTGTGGGGATCCGTGCGGATCTGCGAGGATTCGTGGGGACAAGGATGGGGGATAAAATCCCCCTGTGGCGGGAATCTGACACGGGGATGAGGAGTAAATTCGAGAGTAGAGATTGAGATGAGAATGTATCCACCGTCCCTGCCCCGTCCCATTGACATCCATAACCATCAACATCATCACCATCAGATACAATATTGTCACCATCAATATCATCACCCTTAGATGCATTCTTTTCAGCAACATGATCACCATCACATTCATCATCTTCAAATTCAACACTGCCAGCATCAATAGCACTAGCAGGTCCAGCCTGGTTTTCCTCTTCTTCCAGCAAAGCTTTAATCAAACTCTTAAGCTTGATTTTCCTAGTAGTGATAATAATGATTGAGTCATCTAACTCCCTACATGTCTCCTTTAGTTTAGAAATTATACCTTTCTTGGAAGTTACAGTACCAGGTACCTGAGAAGATGTCAGGACAATATCTAGAACATGTGCTCCACCAAACAGTTTATAATGCAAAGTCAAAAGGGATTCTCTTTTCTTCACACTATCAACAGCCAATATAATACCAGGATGTTGTTTCAAAATTATTCCACAAATGATAGAGGAAAAACATATATGCATCTTAACAGTAGATGAGAATGTTTGCTTTAAGATTTGATCAAATATGTATGCTCCAAAATCAAATGCCTTTCTTTTACTCACAACATAGATAAACTTACTAAGCCTAGTTGAAATAGTGGAGTTATGGTTTGTGGGAATACAATTAACAACAACAATCCTATGAAAGATGGCATATTTCACAGTAATCCTTCCAGCTAATAGCTTTCCTGCATTTGGCCAGTGCTTCACTTGCCCACCAGTTATCTCCCTACAAACTTGATCATTTGTAGCCTCTAACTTTGCTTGAGGTTCTTCAGATCTGACCAGATAATTGTTGATCACAACAGGAGATAATGTCACAATATTACCCCTAACATTTACCTTTTTGTAGTTTTTACTCTTCGCATCATCACATCCATCAAGAACACTCACAACAAAATCCTTCACTAACCTTTCATAGCAAGGACCAAATTTAGTGAGAGTCCTCATCAACCCAGTAACCTCTATAAGCTCCACAATATGATTACACTTTAGGAAATCCTTACCCAAGTCCTCTCCAAAGCAATCCTCCTTTGGTCAACATGCTTCCATCTTTCAGCATTCTTCTCAGGAACAACGACACAAGTCTTCATGGAGGCAGAATTTTTAATGGGAATGATGTCCTGGACATCTTCACCAGCATCAAATTTAGAGTCACTAGAAGAAACAACTTTCCTCTTCCTTGTAGGCACATCAAATTTACTCCATGATTTAGCAGGACCAACTAAATAGTTTCCTTTGGAGCTTTAAAATTTACCTTTGATTTCCTTAGAAGGTGAATCTTCAAACCCCACAGCCTTTCCTTTCCTTCTCTGAAGTCTCTTGGCTATTCCAGGAACCAAGTGTTTGGAAATGGGTT